GGCTAGTTTTAAAGGAAAAGAGCACTTTTAGATAAAGAAGGCAATAATAGATGGCACTCGTGGAGGAAGGAAAACAAAGTTCTTCATGAACCGCAGGATTGCTTGTGATAAAGATGTAAATGCAAAAGAAAAGGCAGTAGAGCTGAGTGTTTATGTCAGTGGTAAGTTTTAATTTAGAATGTTTGTGGTAATGAAGTAGTTTAAATGTTTTGCCACTTGCTTGAGCAACTTAATATATAAATCTAGAAGTCAATGCAAAAGTAAAAAGCATTGAATAATGTGTTTCTTATATTTATTGCGTTTAAACCTGTCTATGAAAGATTGTATTATACAGGTGCATCTCAATAAATTAGAATGTCATGGAAAAGTTAATTTATTTCAGTAATTCAACTCAAATTGTGAAACTCGTGTATTAAATAAATTCAATACACACAGACTGAAGTAGTTTAAGTCTTTGGTTCTTTTAATTGTGATGATTTTGGCTCACATTTAACAAAAACCCACCAATTCAACAAATTAGAATACTTCATAAGACCAATAAAAAAAACATTTTTAGTGAATTGTTGGCCTTCTGGAAAGTATGTTCATTTACTGTACATGTACTCAATACTTGGTAGGGGCTCCTTTTGCTTTAATTACTGCCTCAATTCGGCGTGGCATGGAGGTGATCAGTTTGTGGCACTGCTGAGGTGGTATGGAAGCCCAGGTTTCTTTGACAGTGGCCTTCAGCTCATCTGCATTTTTTGGTCTCTTGTTTCTCATTTTCCTCTTGACAATACCATACCATACAATACATACAGGTGCATCTCAATAAATTAGAATGTCGTGGAAAAGTTCATTTATTTCAGTAATTCAACTCAAATTGTGAAACTCGTGTATTAAATAAATTCAATGCACACAGACTGAAGTAGTTTTGTTGGTGTGCTTGACTGGCCAGCAAACTCACCAGACCTGAACCCCATAGCTTATTGAGTTTCATCCTGACATCAAAATCATAAATTAGTGTCGATTCTTCACGAGAGTGATTATATACACAGATCCGCGGGTACTAAACTTGTGCTAAGCATGTTAGCAGGCCTGGATTCTAACCCACCCTCGTATAGTTTTTCTCTTCATTAACACCAAATGTGTTCATCAGTCAATAAGTTAAACTCACTGCGTTTATATTCTGGACTCGTGTGCTTTTCGATACATAGTATGCTTTATTAATAAAGTGTGTGCAGAGTTTGGTCTTTTAATATCACTGTCTAATGCATTGAGCCACGATCAGTGTTAATATCACTGCATTGAGCCACGATCAGTGCTTTTCATGTTAAGCCTGTGTAGTGTAAATACAGATATCAGATATGGGTCACTTTAAAAAGAAGGTAAAAATAAATCGGATATAGTAAAAAAAAATCTGATTTGGGCGTCCAGATCTGCAGTATAAATGCAGCTAAAAAAGTAAATGCAAAAATAATAATAGGCTAAAAAAACATCTGCTTTGGCTCTCAGGGCCCAGTATCCTTATCTTTAATGACTGGATTGACTGCTTAGGATTTTAGTTTTCTTTTACAAAGCGCTACTGTTATAATAATAGTTTACTGATGCCTTGGTTGAATTGTTTTCATATAATTTTGTTCACGGCAGCAGAATGTCTTGTAGGTCAAGGCAGTTGAATAGTTTTGATTGCAACTGTATGTATGTAGATGCATATGTATTTTTATTTTGCATTCTCTCTCTTTGCCAGTATGAAGACGTTGCAGATAAGGATGATCTGATGGGAGTGGAGGACACAGCCAAAAAAGATATCCTTCAAACCACCGGCTGTCCACAATCACATAGAGTAGCACACTTACTTCAAGATCAATAGGAGATCTCCTTTTGGGTTTGCTTTTTGCTGTGCCATTATAATGTGGTGGACTTCTTTAACTGCTATGCAGGTTTTTTCTCCAAGCCTTCTCTCAAGAGTAGGAACACTATTTTCACAGTTGGCCAGAGGGGGGCAGTGTTGAGTCCTGCGGAGCTGGAGGGGCCCATACTGATCCCACACGCCGCTCAGAGAGGAGACTCCAGAGTGAGACACTGAGCTTCTGCTTTACAATGCTGCCATGAGAGCCAGTCCTGATATTTCGCAAAGGCTAGGGCCACTATCACTCTTTCTTAAACTTGATCTCAAGTTGAGCCCTAAGAATTCAACTTTGGCTAAATGAATCCACACCATCGCTGTGATCAGTGACTCTGATTAAATACTGTACGCTCTAAATGGTTTTACAGTGCGACAATTATATCATTGGTCAGTTCACTTCTGCTCCTCTTTTAGGGGTGTAACGCTACACGAACATTCGGTACGGTTTCGGTACAGCAGTGGGAAAAAACTAAACATAAAATTGCTTTTTTTATATTAAACAGTGGCGTACGGAACAAATTGCTTTTTCTTTAAATAAATTTAATTATAATTAAAATTTTCTTAGGGATAAAAATCGACCTCAGATTCTGCTCTAAACTACAGTGAGCCCTTTTACATTACTGTAAGATTACAACTAACAACAGAGCGAGATTTTATATAATAATCAACACTCAAATAAAAAAAAATGTATGCAAACACGTAAATTACACATAATGCAGTTTTTAAATTAAAGGGGTCATATGATGCTATTTTAAAGATAATTATTTTGTGTATTTGGTGTAACAGAATATGTTGACATGCTTTAATGTTCAAAAAACACATTATTTTTCAAATATTTTTTAGAAATAGCCTTTGTGCACAGCCAGCCTTGTACTCTTCTAGGTCGTCCATAAAATGCGTTGCACAAATTCGAACATCTGGGTTGTGCTGTTCTGTTGTAAATAAATCTTAACCAATGATTCCTAACTGCATCTACTTCCGGAAGGCCAAATAAAGTGCGTGACGTTTTGTTTACAAGCTGTTTTATTGCCGTCTTTCCGCGGTCGAAACACTGATTGAGCGATTACACGAGGCATGAGATGTTCATTCATGTTTATTTTGCTTTAAAACTAGCAGTAAAGAGGAAGAGATGATTGTGAGGCGTTTATACAGCGATCTGTCGCACCATCAAAGAGCGTCAAAACCACATTTACTGTTTCCTGAAATAAAAGGACATAATTTGAAAGATGAGACTTTGTTTCTTATCAAAAGTAACAATATATAAAACTGGAAGTTTCCAATTTCCAAGTTCTGCTCGTGCAGTGGTTAAATACGTGTTAATGCGTGTACCGTTACACCCCTATCCTCCTGTATTTATTTATTTATTGGAAAAACTGGACATAAAACAAAAATGCAAACCTTTCTTGATTTTGTGTTCAACTGTGAAATACTAGAGGGACTGACCCCCTAAGATGTGTTCTCTGTGTGTTCATTCCTGATCTGTCTCTGTCTCGGTCAGTACCCGTACGAAACGCTCTTCCGCAGTCAGCACTACGCTCTGCTGGATAACAGCTGTCGAGAGTTCCTCTTCCTCTCCGACTTCTTCATGGTGGCTGGAAACTCTGCTTTGGATTTGTTCAACAGCATTATGGGAAAAACGCTCGGCATGTTCCTGGTACATTCACTCCCTTATGAAGATGAAACATGATATTTCTGTTGTTCTAGTGATGTAATTTGCTAACAAAATCTACATTATTATTATTATTATTATTATTATAGTTTGTAATAGTTTTTTTATTGGACATTCTCCATTCTCATTTGTGACCCTGGAGCACAAAACCAGTCGAAATTGAGATTTATACATCATCTGAAAGCTGAATAAATAATCTTTCTATTGATGTATGGGATGTATGGTACAACTATTTGAAAATCTGGAATCTGAGGGTGCAAAAAAATCTAAATATTGAGAAAATCATCTTTAAAGTTGTTCAAATGAAATTCTTAGCAATGCATATTACTAATCAAAAATTAAGTTTTGATATATTTACGGTAGGAAATTTACTAAATATCTTCATGGAGCATGCTCTTTACTTAATATCCTAATGATTTTTGGCATTAAAGAAAAATGTATAATTTTGACCCGTATTGTTGGCTATTGCTACAAATATACCCCAGAGATTTAAGACTGCTTTTGTGCTCCAGGGTCACATATTTGTCTCTCTTCTCTATCTGCAGAAGAATCTGTCCACATACCTGTCAGACTGTTACGACAGTATTGCGGTGTTTCTCTGCATTCACATCATCCTGCGCTTCAGAGCCATCACAGCCAAGAGGAACATCCCCGCGCTCGACAAGTCAGTCCCTCTGTCATCACAAACACACAAGCTGTAGAGAGGACAGTAGTCTGCTCGTATTCTGGCCAGTAATGAACACTCTTTAACAGCACACTGCGTCTTTAGTGTTACAGCACAACATGACAATTCATGTGCTTACTAAATCCATGATATGGATCGTAGTTAACAATTCACCCATGCACGTGTGTCATTTATTGAAGTTATATATTATTTGGCATTGTTATGCCTTTATTGGATGGGACAGTAAGAGTAAGACTAACATATCCAGGGCTCCAGCAGATTTGGTAGCACTGGGGGTGTGTGTG